GTTTGCTGCGGAGGTTGTGTCTTCACCAGGTCTAAATAACGACCACGTGTGTTAAATACTAAATCATCGAAAGCTGTTTGCACCTTACAGACTTCGAGAGCATGGCGATTATCCAATAAATCTGCATTTAGCTGAATAATTGCATTCTGAGTCTTATCCATTTCTATCTCAATAACCTCTAGTTTTTCGTACCGAGGCTTGAACTGAAGAGCTGTATCAACGGTGGTTCTCTTCACGGAGTCATAACAGTTTTGAACTTGAGCAAATAACTTTTCCCGTGTAGATTTCAGTACGGCGAGCTTCTTAATTTGAGATTGCAACAATTCTTCGTTAGTCATTGCGGCGATACGCGATAAAGCGTCGATCGAGAAACCGATAAACCGACAAATTTGAGGTTATGATCCGGCTTCGATTAGGACCAAATGTGCACGCGGGGTGCCGTGACTTAACTTTGCGCGAAGGACCGAGAATAACTGAGAAGTACCACTAACCTGGAGTATCCTGCTGGCGGTGACAGGGGCCCCTGGTTCTTGGTAGCCTGATGTTGAGAAGTACAACGAGGAACACGCGAGAGGAAAAACCGTTCACTCATGCACCTTTTACGTTCAGTAGCGTACTACTTCCGCTCACTCGCGCGTGCGCCGGAATGGAGCACTTACTGTTCGAACAGGTTGTGAACTTATTTTGAGGTGTTTTGTTTAATAAATCTTTATAGTCTAAGAGCCAGTGGCCGGCTACCTGTATGTAATTGACCAGACCTCGAATTTTGTACAGAGAGTCTCCTCGATCCAACATACAAGGACTGAGGACTCACTAAGCCCAGCGCGGCTGGCGTAGCTGGAGCTCAGGTACGCCAGGTTTAAAAAATAACTAATTTTAAATGCATTTGACCATGTCTGCCATTTGGAAATTTTAAAATATATGTTTATTTTTATTAAAAAATAACCATGGCAGACCATTATCACGCGTCTAACATCGTGGCAGACAATTTTGAAAGTGCAAAAAAATATAAAATTTTGACCAAGTGTGCCATTAATATATTTTGTTGATTGTAGTCTTAAAATATTATAGTTATCACGGCAGACGTTTTTATTGAGTACCTATACACTTCAGCAGATAACAAAATTTTAACTACTACCCGAGCAGATATATAAAAATGACGCATTATATCTTACATTTATTTCATCTGCTTGAAATTAAATTTATTGTTGTTTTTAAAAATTGATATTTCTGTAGGAATTCACGTATCGTATCCGATAACTCCTGTACCTCTAGCTTTATGTCATTTAAATGGGAGTATTTGTAAAACTGTCAAATCTGTACTTGCTAAATGTCTGGAACCAAATATTAATCAGGAACAGCTTTGGATTTATAATAAGGCACACTAGGCACTGGCCTAAGTGCCTGGCTGGAGGGGCCCCAAAACCTTTGGAAATGTATAATCAAAATAAAAAATTGCAACATTTTATTATCTTAGTACTCATTGACAAATTTTTAATTGTTCGGGTAATTCTTTGTGGTAGGTCACCGCTGCTGACACAGGAAATCACATGTGCAGAGGCGGCCAGTTTGCGAGCAAATCAGTACGGAATACTGAACCTTATAGAACCCGTCTCCTTATGCTAACAAAGGTTGGTTTGCCGTACAAACCGTGTGCAAGACCATAAAGTAGTTTCCGAAATTCCTGAGAATTTAAATTGGAGATTTTCTAAACAGATCATTTAAGAAACGATATATTTCAGCATCGTACAGTAGCAGATTTAGTAGCTTTCGGCGCTTCGCAATTTGTGCAGTAGCATTACAGTTTGATTTTTATTTTAGTACCTTTGTACTGTAAATGTTATTGTTGTCAGTGGTATTTAGAAAAGGTAAGTTTTCAGTTCTTGTAATTTTCATAAAAGTGAACGCCATTTCATTTTTTATTGAAGAATTTTTTATGTTTAAAATGAAATTAAAATTCGTAAATTATTAATAAATTTAGAAAGGCCCTTTGACATTGCCAGAAATTAAAAAAAAAATGTCAAATTGCTGTTAATTTTTTTTCTGTTATACAAATAGTGTATAATTTTTTTCGGCTTCGACAGGCGGGTAGAATCTTACGAAATCTGCTATTCAAAATGACAACATATTGAAGAGACTTTCGGGCACCCGTTGGGAGACTCATGCTGTGCAACTTCAGCAATCTTGGAAACGTTTAATAAGATATTAAATACTTTAGACTATATATTTACAAGTATAAACTTGCAAATGAAGGTAGATTCTTGTTCAATAAAATTAATAAAGGCGTTATGCAAACACTCCCTTATTCCTGGGGAGGGTTGGGGGCACCACCAGTCTTTGGTGCCTAGGGCATTAGAATAGTTAAATTCGGGCCTGATCAGGAACCACCTTACAATACAGATGTATTTTTAATTGATGGGTTTTTCATTCTTCATTCTATGAAAGAAGTACCAAAAACATTAGAAAATATTTCCAAAAAATTTTTGCAGATGATAACAAAATATCCAGCACGAAGAATCGACGTAATTTTCGACCAATATTTGCATCCATCTATAAAAGACAATGAAAGAAGTCTACGACATGACGCATCGTTAATTGATTTCACATTTTCTGGGCCTGACCAGGTACGACCATCAGATTTTACAAAGGAAATAAAAAATACGAAATTTAAAGAAGCTGTCATTGATTTCTTTATTATACATTGGTGTAGTGATGAACTGGTATCATTTGTTGGTAATCAACTGATACATTTGAACTTTCGAAACTGTCATTCTTATCGAACTGTTAATGATATTATACAATCAAATATCAATTTTTAAAAACAACAATAAATTTAATTTCAAGCAGATGAAATAAATGTAAGATATAATGCGTCATTTTTATATATCTGCTCGGGTAGTAGTTAAGATTTCTGAAGTGTATATGTACTCAATAAAAACGTCTGCCGTGATAAATATAATATTTTAAGACTACAATCAACAAAATATATTGATGGCACACTTGGTCAAAATTAGTTTGAAAATTTTATATTTTTTTGCACTTTCAGAATTGTCTGCCACGATGGTAGACGCGTGATAATGGTCTGCCATGGGTATTTTTTAATAAAAATAAACATATATTTTAAAATTTCCAAATGGCAGACATGGTCAAATGCATTTAAAATTAGTCATTTTTTGATACCTGGCGTACATACCTGAGCTCCAGCTACGCCAGCCGCGCTGGGCTTAGTGAGTCCTCAGTCCTTGTATGTTGGATCGAGGAGACTCTTCACTCTTTGTACAAAATTCGAGGTCTGGTCAATTACATACAGGTAGCCGGCCACTGGCTCTTATTAGACTATTAGTAAATGTGTCAGTCGGTGTATGTGGTGTATTTGATAGACTACTGTTACTATTTTGTGGTATAATTGGGATCTTATTTTGAGATGTTATTTTTGACAAATTGGTGACAGATGTGTCAGTCAGTAATGTATTTGGTGGTGTGTTGTTGATATCTTCAGCAAGTGGATTAATGGTTTTGGAAAGTTCATTTTTTAATTGTTCTAGAGTAAGTTGAGGTATGTAGTTATTTTTAACTATAGCTCTACGTTGATCTGCTAAATTTTGAATGGTAACTGGAAAATTTGGGTACTCACGGCTGAAGGCTTCGTGTAGAGCTGTACGATAATTACTTACATCGGTTTCATTGTTTGTAATTTTATAATATAAGCGCATAATATATAAATTCATGTCTAGAGACCATTTTTTACGCTTTTTTGGTTCCTCTCGTCTTCTAATGGTCTGAGGCTGATTTGTCTGAGAAACATTAGAGACTAATATGCTGTTAATTGTTCTTGTGGTAGTATTTCCCGAGGTGATGCCACTTGCTCCATCGACCTCTTCGGAGACTGCAGTAATAGTTGTTCGTCGGATTTCGAGTTGAACATTCTCCGTTGTAGGCGAAACAATTTGGTTTTGACTCATTTTTTAGTTGGAAATGTCAGCGTTTACAGTTGATTATGAAAAAAGGAAATTAAATGCAAATATCGAGTTAAATAGGTGGTTTTAATAGTAAATAATAATAATAATATGATTTATTTGCCCAACAGAAAATACATTCCATTTACAGGACAAAAAAATATTAAACAATAATGCAACTGGCAACATATACATAAATAGATGAAAATAACTGTTAATTTTAACTCTATACTAACAATAAACTTACGCTAAACTTAAACTAAAATTGTGCCTATATTATACTAATTGCTATACACAACTGTATAGCACTGTATAACTGTAATACAGTACCTTGCACTATTATGAGTCCTTTTGAGTGAAATAAAGGTATTGAATTCAGTTTTATCCAAAGATTCCGCCTTGTTAAGAAATTTATGAATAACCAAAGGTCACTTTTTTTAATTTTTTTTTATTTTTTTATTTAATTGTTGTGTTTTTTTTTTTGACATGTTTTATGTATTTTTGTCGACAGTATTTTATGTGAAGTTTTCGGTTTCATTCACATTTTAACGAATTATTCTCGATCGGGTAAAAGTTCGTGACAAATGTGGCGTACTTAAACTTTGTTGCAATATCCACCATTTTAGTTTTAAATTTGTCTAATCAGAAAATGTTCGGGGTTGTTTGGCGAGAGCGAGGAGCGACTCAAATTCAAATAGTTTTTTATTCTGCATCAGAAAATGTCAAAAAAATCTGGGTGTTCCATCAAAAGAAAAAGTAGGCGACCGTGTGTATCAAACCCAAAGCGATAAAAAAAGGAAAAATATTGTAATCAAATCGCCATGTTTAACTACATATCCACACCAATTTTCCAAAAAAAATATTTTCAAATAACAAAGTCATTCAATTTTATTTTATTTTATACTTTATACTAACCTGTGTATTTGTAGCCACAGGCAGGATAATTTTTTCAAGTTAGCGTTAAAGTTGGTTCCATACTGAAATTAAAATTTGTATGTAATATATGTAATATATGAAAACAACTTTCCTTTTTTAATTGTACAGGCATCAAGAAGCGGCTGTTGCGTACCCTTGGCCGAAAGCTCAGGAAATGATGCGATCAGCCCGAAAAAGATCAGTCCCAGATGTTCCGATGAGTCTTGAGGGCTTAAGGAACATACTGCTCTTCCAGAGTTTTGGAGAAAAATTTCAGTGTCATGACGGACAAAGAATTTGCAAAGCCATTATTAACAACGGCAATGGGACAAGCGTTGTTTTATATTGCAGCAGTGTTATAAATGACATGTTGTCCCATGAAAACACCGAAATTGCTCGACATGCTGAAATACATGCTGATGGAACATTTAAGGTAGTTCCATCGGTACCTCAGGCCCGGCAACTGTTCGTAATCCATGTGATGTTCCAAAACCATGTAAGTTAAAAAATATATACTAACAACTTTTATATCTATTAAGATTGATCTATACAGGGTGAATCACTAAGCGTGTGGTCTTTGATATCTCATTAATTATTACAGATAGAAAAAAAGACCAAAATTTTACGGTTCTTTGAGCATTATAGATACTGTAACATTATTTCAAATTGTTCTATTTTTAAGACGTATCACACAACTTATTTTTTTACTGAAATACCTTATTAGCTTCTGCCTAGGCCTTATATCTATAGTTTATATTTGAAACTTCTGTGCAACGTTGCCACGTTTTTATAATTTTCTTGAAATTTTTTGATAATGGAAGAGTTCACAAGCAAATCGTAATACAGTTATTAAAATCTATGTTACAATATTTTGAGGAAGGATAAATAAAGGTATGTGCTTTATTACTATTTTCAAATATAGAGATTTAATTTTTTTTAAATAGAACATCCTATATTTTATTACTATGTCTACTCTATTTTTTGTTCTCATTCTTCTAATATGCCGACTGCCTCTTAAAAGAGTAAAAAATCAGAGTAATTATCAACATTAAATATAGAAAATGCCTAATAAAAAAAAAAAAAATGAAGAAACTGAAAATTCGATATTTGAAAATTGTAATAGGTACTTATTTTTTATAAACACTTATTATATGAATATTTCATTTAATTTATACCACAACAAGCGCGTATTTTTATTTGTCCCCTCACAAAATACTGTAATATATATTTTAAAAATATTGCGATCTTTTTTGTGAACACTTCAAATGCCAAAAAATTTTAATAAAATCAAAATACCATGTTATTTTGCTTCACAGAAATTACAAAAATAAAGTATAGTTGTAAAGACTAAAAAGAGGTCAAGCAAAATATGTACGGTGTTTAGTTATAAACAATAAATCTGTGTTAGGCCTTAAAAACAACACTCTGTATAGTTAGAAATAACTTTAGTGTATAGTCCTTAAAGGACTGTACACTTTTTTCTATTTCCATTAATTATTGAGATATCGACGAAGGCGCGCTTATTAACTGACCTGTATAGATGTATATACTGCTGCACTTGCTATTTATGTGTAAAATGATTTCTACACTTATACGAGTAGATATATGTTTTAATTCTCAAAAATTAAATCAATTTGTAGTCGGTCCCTGTGTGTTTCGCTTTAATGGAAAAGCGGAGTAAGTTAGCATACAAAGAAGTCATCACACATTTCAAAGAAAATGTAGCACCAACTTTAGTACCAGCTACTATTATTACTGACTATGAGCAACCTTTACAAAGTGCTTTTGAGGAAGTGTACGGAATGTCAGCTACAGGGTGTTTTTTCCATTACTCTCAGGTAAATATATAAAATTTAAGAGTATTTTCAAAACAATTATCTTGCTATGCTTAAGCAATAAGTGATTTAGCGTAACATAGAAAACTTAATAGTTGTACAATAAAAGTACTAAAATATTTCAAATGTGAATTTCAGTTAAAACAAATGAACTACAATTTTAAAAATTCGGTACAAATTACACAGCATTCAATTAAGTACAATCTAAAATTTATTATTTTTTTCCTATCACTTTAATTATTTTGATTTACTTCGGAATTTTGGTATTGGCCCAACAATACTTCAACGGTTTTAACTCTTGTCCCCTTTAGTACCAATCTGATTATTCTATGCGCAAAAATTGGCTTCCCAAAATAGGTAAAAAAAATACCATAATGAGTTACAACGATATAACTTATTCTGCGACAGTATAATAGTATACAGTAATGTTCCACCGTTTTGACATACAATTTGCATTGTAATGGAGGACAATTATTTTAGGCGGAATGGAAGTATATGCGAAAACACAACTATCTTGTGGTTATTAACACGAACCAGGATGCCCGTTGTGTTTTAAAAATGTTAATGGTGTTACCACTACTACCAGCTGCAGAAATTGAGGAAGGACTCACGGACATAAAATATTTTGCAAGGGCCCGACAAATTAATTTGTCACGCCTAATTCAATACGTCAAAAGGTAAGATACGTACTGACATAGAACTTATATGCGTGTACCTCCTATGAAAATGAGATATTTCTTAACCATATTTTGCTTACTTATTTTTTTCTGATAACAGTTTAAGCTCCAATCAAATAAAACTGTAAAAATAAATAATAACTGTCTCTTAATAAAATAAACAATTTGCTATGTTAAGTAATTGATAACGAATCTTCAATTTTGTTATCATATCTGAAATTTTTATACATTTGTGTGATGTTTATACAGATATTAGGTACGAAGGATTTATTAAAAATGTTTAAATTTAAATTAAAATACTTAGTATCGGTTTTCTTTAAAACTAAATACTAAAGCATAATTTTACCTACTACATTTGTTCATAAGTATTTATATAATTCACGGTCAAAATAACGGAACTCAATAATTATTCATGTTTAATTTTTTTAATTTTAAATAAGTCCATTTATTATTCATGTTGTTGCTCTTGACTACACTCAGTCCATTCAATACTCAAATTATAAAATGTATATTTTTAAGATTCTGGATGAGAAGGATCGGCGTGGACAGGATATCAGTATCTGGGCTTCCAAGAAGAACAAACAATAATATCGAATGTTTTCACAACCGGCTCAAAGACAAATTTAAGAAAGCTCATCCAAACATTTGGAAATTTTTAGGCATGTATATTTTCTATTTATGGTAAATACCTTGAGATCGAAAATAAAACAAGAGTTACTCTTTTAATAGTACTGTAAACAATTTTGTGGGCCCTTCCCATTAAAAAAAAAATACAGTTAAATTTTGTTCTTATTTCTATCAGTATCATAAAATTTGCCAACGATATTTCTCCAAGACCCGGTTTCTAGAAAACGAATTAAAGTTAATTCGCGATTAACTTTTAATTGAGGTCCGTTGCTAAGCAACGTGCATGTTTTAAACAATTACGAGTTCATATTCTACATTTTAATCATTTGTTAAATTAATCGAGTATTAAATATTTAATTCGCTTTCTATAAAACGGCCCTTAATGTTTTCTTCGAACGATTCCATTGTTTAAATAACGATCATAAAAATATTAAAAAATCATTTTGACGTTTCAAATATCAGAAATCAATACTGCAAAAACCGATAATAACCGATCAATTAACTTTGTACAGATTTTTAGTGGTCACACCCATAGGTGACATCACCTATGGGTGTGACCACATCATTGCATCATTCTTGTCAGCTGATAGCTCTATCAATGTCAAAAAACACTTGTAGCAAAGATATATATCTTAACAAAATTTTAATTACGTAAATATTATATTGACATTGATCTACGTCAAACGTAACGTCGCACCAGCCAGAGCTCGACAAGCAACTCTAACTGTAATTAATTCATTTTATTTTTGATCGCATGGTATTATCTGTTAGTTGACTTCTTTTAAAAGTTAATAAAATTACTCCTTTTATTAATCGGAATCGCTCTACTATCTAGTAATGTAAAATTCTATTTGCAGAATATGTGTGTACAGTAATTAAGAGTACACATATTTTAATAAGGCAAATAAATCAAGGACAGAAAATTACAAGAAGCAAAAAGTGCAAATTTATAGCTGCAGATGCAGCTATCAAAGATGCCCAGCGGCAGTTCTCTAATAGAGAAATTAGCCGCATCCAGTTTCTAAAAATCTGCTCCCACAGCGTAGAGGGAACAGAAGGAAGACTACGTCACTGGGCCCTCTACGTTGAAGGTGATGAAGATTTATCCAGCGAAGGTATGCAATGTGCATTTCTATACACAAAATGAAATAATTACAAGAAAGTGTTTTTTTTTTTAGAAAATGGTCCCTTAGTGCCGTCGTCTGAGGAAGATGAATCTCCTTCTTATTCACCTCTCCAGTCCCCTGAACCTTCTTCAAACCAATCAATTCATTCTCCATCGATTTCCCCATTACGTCTATCACCTTTCGATTCACCTTCTGCTTCTAGATCGAATTCTCCTTTACCTTCCACGTCTAGAGGTCAGACGACGAGATTTCAACTATCTTCCGACGACGAAGACGATATCACAAGTAAATTTTCTTAGGTTTTTTTACCAGTGTACTATTGTTGTGTTGTCTTGTACATCTGTTCTGATTATTTTTAATAAAACGATTTGGAAAATGTGAAATATCAAATTAACACATCAACAGTATTAGCCCTGCGGGCAGTGCAACATATAGTGTTTCTATGCTTTCTGTTTGCTAACAGAAAGACTTTACAATGATAAACCGTGTTTTTTTTTGTTTTGAGTTGTAATTACGTTAAATTTTTAGATGAATCTGGTGTATGCGCAGTATGTTGGCAAAAGACTGCAAGTTTTATATTTTGGGACTGCAGGCATGTGGCAGCCTGCGAAGTGTGTGTCTCTCAGTATACTGTGTCTGATGATGAAAGTACAGCAACAAGATGTCCAGTCTGTCGGAGGAGAATTTCTGTTCTTCCAAAAAGAGTTTTTTTTTTTTAATAAGTAGTTTCTTTATATTGTTTGTCATATTTATTTTACTAATACTAGTTTACGAGTATTTTATTTCTGTATTTGTTTTTTTTTTCATAAAATATATTTCATTTTACAATGATATCTTGTTTTCATTTATGTAGCACATTTGGTGCATATGATTCAACAAATTATAACTAAGAATATTCATTTGAAGTTATAACAGGTATAATACCGTAAGCTTAGCCGTAAGCACATGTTAACTACATAATTAATTTACAGATAAATTACTATAGCACTTACAAATAATAAAATTCGACTTAGAAACAGTTACAAATGTCATATTGCTTACAAATTATAAAATGTCACAAACACGTAAAGTAAGTTAAAAATGTTCTATAATAAATTCAAGTAAATATTTAATGGTCTGGGGATTATTACACGGAGATGTTTCGTAGACATACCTATATTGGTACATACTACAATCGTTATAAAGAATGTGTGTTTTAATTATATACACTGAGCGGCAAAAAAATCGGCCAGACTTAAATACTTATTTCGCAACCCAACTTTAAAAATTATATTTTAATTAGTGATTGTTTTCATTTGTCTCTTTTTTAGCTAATTGGTACGTCCTGTGTAAACGGTGAATAGTTTTTTAAATAAAATAACAATCACTAAGTAGTTAAATTAACTTTTAAAACGATTTTGCGAAATATATCAGGGCGACCTCTTTTTTTTGTCGGTCAGTAAGTATTTAACACATTAATACACTTAGGTATCGGTACCAGTAAAAAAAATGGAAGTGATGGTAGATGCCATATTGTACCAAAACTTATATTTACTAATTAAATATGTATTTATTAGTGGTTTATTAAATATTTCAGGTTTATTTTTGTTCTAAGAACTGAGAATTATTAATCTTTTCTTAACACCTGTATAGGATTCATGTTATTTACAGCCGAGTAGTGATTATTTTATTACCAGGTGTAGTGACAATTTAATTATAATTTTTATTATGTTTACATCTACAATAATAACACTAACACCACTTTATTTCTATGCAATTTTCTGATGTACGATTATATTAACGCCTAGTTTTGGTGTTTAAAAAGGGGGTGTAGATTTTTACTAAATTACTGAGGTTCCCGTAATATACGGTACATATAACGGGTGTACAATAAAAAATATATTTGCAGTAGGCGCTGGAACGAAAACTTCACAATTGTGGTAACAGGGCAAATAATATCGAAGCGTAAGTAGGCAACCAAATATACTTCAGAGCATGGATGGGTACATCACTACCATCTTAAATACAAAAAAAGTGACATTTGACGGATTTTGACGTTCTGGATTTCCTAACCCTAACGTTCGTATCGCCTTTTTGCAGTTTAGTTGTTATTTCATCTTTTGCTTTGTTTGTGTGATAAAAATCAGTTCTTTTCAGAACTAGCGTGTGAGTTTTGCGTTTAAAGTCATTTTTTAACAAGAATGGCTTTTTCTGAACGACACAAAATATTCATGGTAATGTCGTACTACCGAAACGGTGTAAAAGAAGATGGAACTTGGCAATATTCAGTTGGATTATGTATGGAAGAGTTTCGAGAAGAATTCCCTGATTTTGCCGTAGAGTATACGCAGTTTCGACAAACTTTAAATGTCTCGTTAAAAAATTTTCAAGAAAATGGATCTGTGACACGAAAACCTGGAAGTGGCCGTCCAAAAAAACGAACTCCAGAACTAATTGAAGAAGCGAGAGAAGTAATGGAAGAAACCCCGGGTACTTCTATCCGTCATTTATCACAACAACTTGGTTTGTCTGTTGGCACCTGTAACACTCTTCTAAAAAAGGATCTTCATTTGTTTCCTTATCGTCTCACATCTGTACATGAATTACATCCAACAGACTTTCCTCAAAGAGTTCAATACTGTGAATGGTTTCTGAATACTCTGGATATGGGCGACCACCTTGAAAAAACGTTTTTCACCGATGAAGCATACTTTCATCTTAGTGGCTATGTAAACTCACAAAACACAAGAATGTGGACTTCAGAAAATCCACACTTTTTCATTGAGTCGCCCCAATATCCCCAGAAAGTTGGTGTTTGGGCTGCAATTAGCCAACGCAGAATAATTGGTCCAATTTTTTTTGACGGTAAAGAGGTTTTTAGTATTTTAACAACAAAATAATGATATTTTCATTTCAGGAAACATAAATGCTGCAAGATACCGTGACGAAATTTTAAGTGTATTCTTAAATCAGCTGGATGATGAAGAATTAGTGTATGGTTACTTTCAGCAGGACGGTGCCACTGCTCATACAACTGGAGCTACAATAGGTTTTTTGTCTGAATTTTATGAAAATAGGATTATTAGTCGCAATACACCAAATAACTGGCCGCCTAGATCATGTGATCTCACTCCTTGTGACTTCTTCTTGTGGCCACATATAAAAAATTCAATTTATACAACACCCATAAATGACTTGGAAGAATTACGGAATAGGATAACACACAAAATTAATGATATTAATAATAGTGCAAGTGTTTTAGAAAATGTGGCAAATGCAGTAAGGCGAAGGGCTAGGTTGTGTCTACAAGAAGGGGGTTCTCACTTCCAGCATTTGTTGTAATGTAATTCAAAATGTAACATTTATCAGGCCTTACATAATGTTCGACAGAATTATGCAGAATGCTTTCATATTGTTGTTACAGAAGATTTCAATAAAGTGTCGTAGACTTATCTTTTCTTTTACCTTCTTAAGAAACAAAGTGTTGTAATGAACTGATCTTTTCAATAACCAGTATGATTTGCATACTTGCATTTATTTTTATATTTCAAAAGTAAATCGTCAAAATAAAACACTAGTCACTTGTTTTCTTTTGTAATTATTGTGGCCGGTGAGAAGAGAAATGAATGAAGTGGACTGTAATTATTGTTTTATTGTACACAACACTGGACAGTAACAGTCCACACAACTAGTCTGTTATCGAAGGACTAACAAACTAAAAAATGTTCAAGTGCGGTAAAGGCAGATGTGAAAGGGTATGGTCCGCCCAACCCTTTGGTCTTCGACTATGGTACGAGCCGCCGATAAGAAATGCCGCACTAAAAGACCGCCGCCGCCCCTTGACAGAGGGGGACCTCCAGCAAAGAGTGCCATCAACAAAAGCGCGGGTCGCCCCAAAGAGTGCTGCCGGTTGTACAGGCCGTACCAGTAATTATTTATTAATTTTATTTGAATAATTTGCGTCAAGCAGATTTGCATTAAAGTGAGAAAATGTTTTCTAACCAAACATTATTTGCCGCTAAATGTCATTCTCAATGACCTTCAGTTTTTACGTGACTCTTTCTACACTTTAAAAAAGCCGCAAACAATTGAATTTTCAGCGCCTGCTCCAAATATATTTTTTATTGTACACCCGTTATTATGAATTATGCTAGACTTAAATAACAGTTGAAATGAATCTCTGATAAAGAAAACATTTGTGGGTTTCGTTTCATCTTCCTTGAAGGTCGTTACCGTTACCCAGGGTGCATTCCACCCACCCAGTGCTTCACTATTGTATTCGCTACACGACGGGATTGGCTGATTACCACCCACTCCTTTTTCCATTTTTGGCCCACTCGGTCCGGGAACTTTTCGACAGCTGGAGCGACGCATGTTAAAACTTTTTGATCTGTAAACTTTCCATTTTCAGACATTTCAATTTTTTTACATTCTATCCGATGAACTTTCTAATAAATGTTATTTTGCGGAAATACATTTATGGCACAATCCCATTCTACCACAATACTTTTTAGTAAAATTTTATTTAGACAAATATTTTTCGTCCCTACACGGGCCCCCAAATTCAAATTGATGATTTTTCTTTCATTCGTATGGCTGTTTTTCTCGCAATACCGGATGCCACCAACACGGGATATGCGGAGGGTGTCTTGCTGGTAAAGGAATAGCATAGTTACGGGATAATACTCGCAGCCGCTGCTTCAAACGCCAGCGAATACCATGATACAATAAATACCAGGTATGATATTGCGCAGGTACGGAGTGGGAGAGTGACGTCACTCAGAGAGTAAACACAGGCATTTCGCGCGTATTTTGCGACGTTTTTCGGTATTCCACGTGCCTTTTAGAAAGTTAGGGGGTGCACGTTATTTTATAATGGTTTTATAAAGTTACAATGATGCCTTGTGCCGTTTTTGGGTGTAATAGCGGTAATCAATCAAAACATTTTCGGAACGACATAAAATTTTATTCATTTCCAAGGGACAATGTTACAAGACAATTATTATGGGTTATTTCTTGTTGTCGTTCGGACTCTTTTACAGTAAAAAATGCAAGAGTGTGTTTGCAGCATTTTAGTGAAAACGATTTTGAACGAAATTTGCAATACGAACTTTTGAATTATCTCCCTAAAAAAGGTTTAAAGAAACTAAAGTCTGGAACTGTGCCTTCGTTATGTCTTCCTAAAAGCAAAACAATCAAACTTAATAACAATATGGGGTATAAAATTTAACATGGGGATCCCTATGGCCACTTTTAAAAATGATGCACACACACGGTTCAATAGTAGGTACATTGTATTTATTTTTAGTAGTTATTAAAAATTCTTATTTTTAAGTTCAGATTATGTGGTAAAATGTTGTTTTTGTCAATTGTGTCGAAACCATTTTTTGTTCTGTTAATAATAGATTGTTTTACAAGTAGTAAAAAGTGGTTGTTTTAATGGAAGGTTTAATTATCGAAGGGAGCGAAAAAGAAAAAACACATTTTTCTTATGTGTTGAACATGTTATTTTTTCGTGTACTCAGTTTTTCAAAGTTTAAAACGGAATTTCTAAAGTAGATTTCAATTTACCATAATTATTATGTTTGTGTTAAATGTAAACAATTACCATAACAACAAGTATGTTCATGATTGATAATCAAATAAAAACGTAAAAAAGCAAAAAATGGCTCATTCTGAAGATCTTGGCATTTTCAGATAATCTGCAGAAGCCATTGCGAATGTGGTGCCCGTAAAATACTAGGAAAAGTATGAAAGGTGTAACAAATACTTTGATGAATGATTGAGAAGAACAAAAAATTCAAATAAAGCGGACGAGACATCAGTTATGCTGAATGGTTGGAAAAGTGTTACTAAAGAGAAAAATTGGTCTAAAGAGTTTAGACAGTACTTCCCTCGCTGTCGGAAACTTGACGACTGCATGCCTATTGTGTTTTTTTTCTCATTACATTTTTGTAGTGGGAATTTAAAAAAAAATTGCGATGACGTCATCAACATTTTTGCAAGGACACGTATATCAGTTGGGATAGATGTAGTGTAATACTAAGAATAAAATTATTATATTCTCAAATTTTCGGGAAAATGAATTGGGTCGTTTGAATATTGATTTGTAATAATCAATAAAATAACTAAACAATTTACTCACGTATACCTACGTATCAGAGGCAACTGAAAATCGTGTATGTATAAACATTGTTAATTTAAGATGACAGGCGTAACAGCATACGTGAGAGCCAAACACAGAAACTGTAAACAAAACGACCGTCGGTTTTATTGCTTCGACTTCCGCTTATTATATAAAACATTGGGTTTTATTTTAATTCTTGACGGTGAAATTCACAATTGGTTGATTATAAACATGTCTATTTCACATTCGCGGAATCAAGTGAACGCATAAAACAAATGCAGGTCTGTAATGTTAAAGTCGATGTAAATAAGCGTGCTACCCTTATGTTTCAACCGAGTTTTTCCTTTAACAAATTTTGTGTCTACCAAATTGGGTTGGTTGGGGTGTGATACTAATAATAAGTGTTGCCTTTAATTTAATCAATAAAATAAATTGACTTCATTAATTTTTTTGAACCACCTCTTAAGAAAATCTAAAAAATATGAATGGAATGATAAATCACAAGTACAAACTCATCATATTTTTTGCATTTTAGATAGGATTTATTCAGCAAAATTTAAGGGTGACGTCATCAATTTTTTTAGGAGGGATGAACAAATACATTTTGAACAAAAGTTTACCATGCTTATAATAACTTTAAAATATTCCCAAGATTTCAAAGCATTCGGTTTTGTAATTCCTGATTAAATCGATAAAATAAATTCACGCCTTCATTAATTTTTTTGAGTCACCCTGCATATGCAAATCCAAAAATATGAATGGAATGATAAATCACAAGTACAGACTCATCATATTTTGTACATTTTAGATACGATTTATTCGGAAAACTTTTGAGCTGACGTCATCAGTTTTTTGTAGAAGATAACCAAATATATTTTGACTAAAAATTTATTATGCTCTTTATAACCTTAAAACATCTGCAAGATTTCAAAGCATTCGGTTGTGTAGTTCCTGATTAAATCAATAAAATAAATTTACGCATTCATTAATTTTTTTGAGTCACTCTGTATATGCAAATCCAAAAAATATGAATGGAGTGATAAATGACAAGTACAGGCTCATCATATTTTGTACATTTTAGATATGATTTATTCGGCAAACTTTCGAGCTGACGTCATCAAGTTTTTGGAGGGGATAAGCAAATATATTTTGACTAAACATTTATTATGCTCTTTATGACCTTAAAACATCTGCAAGATTTCAGAGCATTCGGTTTTGTAGTTCCTGATTAAATCAATAAAATATATTTACGCATTCATTAATTATTTTGAGTCACCCTGTATATGCAAATCCAAAAAATATTAATGGAGTGATAGTTCACAAGTACAGACTCATCATATTTTGTACATTTTAGATATGATTTATTCCACAAACTTTTGAGCTGACGTCATCAAGTTTTTGGAGGGGATAAGCAAATATTTTTTGACTAAAGATTTATGATGCTCTTTATAGCCTTAAAACATCTGCAACATTTCAAAGCATTCTGGTTAGCAGATTAAAAATTAAATTTCAAAATGTTGTTTTATAATTTTGATTTTTTTTCCAAAAATCTGGACATTTCGGGTGAAAAGTCGATTCAGAGTTGTAAACTACATGTGTAGGACTATGTTATTTTATACAATTGAAAACCCATTTACTATGTACAATTTTGAAGTGACGTCATCGCTTTAGTGGTGGGGATGATTCGACAAATTTTGGTTAGCGTTTTACCATCTACATGATATTCTTAATATAAGTACAAAATTTCACAACAATCGGTCGAGTACTTTCGGAGATTATCTGTCTAATAAAAATCCGTGACCACAGACGGACAGACGGACAGACGGACAGACGGACAGACGGACGGACAGACGGACAGACGGACAGACGGACAGACGGACAGACGGACAGACGGACAGACAGACGGAAATGGGAGACCTATTTCTTCGTCTTCTAGGGGTCATGAAAGATCGAGAAAACGTAAAAGTAGAGAGTCGGCCGACGGACTCGATTACAATACTTCCTTTGCTTACGCTCGGGAAGTAAAAATAGCACATTTTATAATTATCTCCAAATTAAAGGCGCATTTTTACTTCCCGAGCGTAAGCAAAGGAAGTATTGTAATCGAGTCCGTCGGCCGACTCTCTACTTTTACGTTTTCTCGATCTTTCATGACCCCTAGAAGACGAAGAAATAGGTCTCCCATTTCCGTCTGTCTGTCCGTCTGTCCGTCCGTCTGTCCGTCTGTTGTCCCGGATTTTTTTTATTAGACAGATAATCTCCGAAAGTACTCGACCGATTGTTGTGAAATTTTGTACTTATATTAAGAATATCATGTAGATGGTA